TGCATTAGCCCCAGGGACAGATTTGAAGGCGGAGTATCTTATGAGTGAAATGGATGTGGCCTACAGGTCCTATTCTGTATACATAAAGAAAAATAATCTGCCTGGGGAAATAGTAATGAGATTCTCGAAGAGGTACGTGAGGGATTTTATCCTGAGAGCGACAGCGGGGACACCCTTGAAAATTGGGGACAGTACCATCAGGATTCTGAAAGATATTCCATTTGAAATAAGACAAAGGAGAAAGAAATATAAAGATTTAATTCTTTTCCTTCAAACAAATGCAATTAGCTACAGGTGGTTATATCCAGAGGGCATAACCTTCAAACTTCAGGATAAAAAAGAAAAGATTGACTCTGTTTCCAAAGCACGGGACTTTTTGAGAACCCAGTTGGGCGAGCCAGAGGAGGTGGATAAAGAGGAGAAGGACAGTAAGTCCAGTGGCGAGCTGGACACGGGGTCTTCTGGAGAGGACTCTCTTTCTGAAAAAGGGGCGGCTGCCCCTAAAAGCCCATATAAACTGAGGAAAAGACAAGAAAAGAAAAAATGAAGGCTGAAGGACTGAATTGTGCCTTTGAAAATATGGTTTTTAATAATGGGATGCTATGGTGTTTCTCTCTAACAGTTAAATTTAAGTGTTAAAAGATATTTTAGCATGTCTGACTAAGTTCAAAAGATATCAGTGATTTAAGGAATAATTTTGTACTTAAGCTGTTTTAATGATCTCCTTCTCTTGGGATTTTAGTTAGTAGTGGTTATCTTTACTTTCTCCTTAATTGTAGTTCCCTTCCCTTATTTCTTTGTAGTTTGTAGTCCAATTAAAAAGCAATAAAAAATCCCCTCCGGGGGACCAAAAAAAGAAAAAGAAACATGATAGCTGTAATACAATAAACTAATATACACTGCAGGCAACAGCAAACCACTTCTGAACGTCTCTTGCCTGAAAACTGACTTATGGTCTATGGAGTTGCCACAAGTCAGCTGTGACCTGCTGGCAAACAAACAAACAATATTATTGCTTTAATAATAGTAGTGCTTCTCGGGGATATAGCGCCTTTTGAATGTTCAAAGCATTTTCTCAGTAATCTGTACAACACTCCCATAAAATAGGTTACTGGTGTAATGGTTAGACTGTTGGTCTAGGAGTAGGAAAACTTGGGTTCACATCTCTTCTTGCAGGAATATAAAACCATTGAAACAAAAATGTATGAGCAGCATTAGAACACAACCAAACAGATCAATAGCAGCATAATGCAACCAACCAGATCAATAGCAGTAGAATACAACCAAGAAAATTAATCACAAACCAACAGCAAAATTAACAGATATTAAACTCATTCGTAAAACTGCAGCAAATATCAATAA